TAATTTAAAAAAAAAAAAAAAAAAAAAAAAAAAAAACAAAAAAGAAACAAAAATCTTTTAAAAAAACAGTTCTGTGCTATTCTTGAGAATTTAGCATATTATCTTCAGATTTGTTACCAACTGTGCATTTTAAAATAGGTCCCTTAGTTTTTTAGTATCGTGTCTGGGGCAGTTGTTATTCACCATCAGTTGTCTTGCTTTTCAGGATTCTATGAGCTTAATTCAAATAGTTTTCATGACAAATATTTTAAACAGTAACGAGTAAGGTTAATAGTTATTCCTTGTATGCATCAGTATCCTGTTCTTTCATCCTTCTGACTACTCTCAGATAATCAAATAGAACCGTAAACATCATGGTAATCCTGGCTATCGAAGCCACACTGTAAAATGCTTTCATTGATCTCAGATGCGTTCACAGTCTGCAAGTACAGCTGAGATGCCATTGTGCTGTTAACTGCTGAGTCAAACTTGCTCAAAGGAAGGGAATACTTGAAAATGGGAGATGTTTGAAGATTTTTAGGAGCTCCTGATTAGCAAAGTGACATCCTGAAACACATTGCCTTCTCGGTCTGCCTGTGTATGTATATTTTTTGTGCTCCATCTCTTATAACTACTGTATTCATCACTAAGATGACCGAGGAGGTAAACAACATAGGCATTCTTCATGAATTTGATGTGGCAGATGTTTTATATACGCTACAGTTTCCAAAATGATATTATGATTCAAGTTGTAACAGCAGTCCCTTTATTGATTACTAATTTCAGGGCTTTCTATGTTTGTTCCAAGATAAAACAACAAACCAACTTCTTGGCATTCTTGGATGTGTGCGTGTATGTGTGTGTGTATATATGCATACATAATGATAATTTGGAGATTTTTTTTTAAATAGCAAAAAAATTGTCTCCATATGTATGTGCTGGTGCTCTTAAAACTTAAATGTGTAATTTAAATTTTCATGACAATGTCTGTGAAACCTTTATATGAATATTTAAAAAATACAAATACTTGCTTTCTCACCTTGAAAGAAAGGACGTAAAGATGTGTGCCCAACAGCTTGTTTTCATCTACAATTTCCTAAGGACTTTTAATATACCATTACCATGCTTGCATGCGTCCATGGATTAAAGGGCTCCTAATGCATACTGACAGGATAAAGATGGAAAGGCTTCAAAGGAAGTGTTTTAGTTTACCCTGTCGATAAAGTGTGGATGGATTGAAAAACCTTAAGTAGACACTTATGGAAGGAACTGGAAAGCTCCATCCATGATCCGGGGATCATAGGCCACTGGGATTAGGCCTTTTATTCAGTGTGGTGATGCTTTGAAGATGTTTCAAGGTTTCTGCTGTGGTCAAAGGCAAGAGCACCTGCCACCATCTCAAAGCCTCCCCGTAGCATATTGGCTGTCTCAGACTCTTCTGCTGAAAGGTGTAAATGTTCAACCTTTTTTTTTTTCTTCTTTTTTTTTTAAAGTAATTTAAATGTATGTGGTTATTTGGAGGATCTAATTGTAAGTGAATGGCAGTAACAAATCCTTGATTAAGGCTGATATATTTTCCTTAACTGAAGTCATTGTGCCTACATTATACAGTGTATACTATTTTGCACCTGTCTCTCATTAGTTCTACTTGTATATTTTATGATAATGTTGTTAGGCATAAATTTTTAGTTGAGTACAAGAGCAGTTAAAATACTGTATCTACATTTTGTTGGCTTCAGCTATAACCTTGATGTTAGTTTAACCCCTTGAGGAATGATATAGATGCCAGTACAGCATTTTTGGTAGAAATTGATTCAAATCTAGAAAATCCAAGAAGTGCTCATTTCTAATGCAGTCTGACACATCCTGGGCTTCTTGGCACTGTGTCTTGTGTTTGGACTCTGTTCGAATGGTTGCAAAGAAAATTAGAGCATATGAAATCAGTGAAGGGGTTGAGATAATATATTATGTTCATGTAATATAAATCAAGTTTTAAATTATTTTTTTATGAAATCAATAAAGATGATTCAATTCTTTAAAAGTAAATCTTTGTGTAATTTTATGAGAAAACAGCTATTAAAATACAGTGATTGCAGTCTATAAGGCAATTTATATTCAATATTTAGTTTTCCATTCCGCATAATAAACTCAATACATATATCAGTTAGAAAATCATTTAAGACCAGCTTTCTTTTGTTGCTTTTTAAAACCTTTAATTTCTTTAAGCCATAAGGATGCATAAATTATACAGGGCATGGCCTCATGAGTAATTTCAACAGATATTGTGGAAATAACAGAACACATCTAGAAATGTATGGCAGTAATATTAATCTATAATATCTTTTGCATGATTTGTACATTGACATTGTATGAAATGAGCACAGCGAGTTATTTTTTTTTTTGGTTATTGTTGTCACATCCAAAGAGCTGGGGAGAAAATATATTAAGAATGTATTTATAATCACTATTTTGAAATAAAGTAAAGAAAATACATTGCATTGTTTTTACCCTGATTTGACTATTAGCATTTTCGGTTAGTTTATAAGACAAAAATCAAGTAATGCTATAAAAGCTAATGTAAATCACAGAAAGGAGCTGTTTTAATGACTTTTGTTTGCTTTTAATAACATCAAGGTATTAGAGAGAATTTATTAAATGCCATTTTTATGGAAGTATTAATAAAATTGTTTGCTACAATGGTATTTCTGAAGCCACAGTTTCTTAAATATATTTATCTTTCCATTATTTTTCAGTAGAAATAAAGCAGCAATCAAACTGATCTTTTCATCTAGATTAGAGGGTAAGACATAGAGCTTTAGAATACTGTTTGTATTCAACTTAATTGTTAAATCTATGTTAAGAGATGCTTTCTTTTCAAACATCTTGCAATCTGTGTTGCTTTCCACTGGCAGCCTCTTTGGAGAAGAGTCAGACAGTGCCATGAGCAACATGCTTTGATTCTTGCTCTTTCTTATTAATCAGTTGGAATCTGACATAACTGCACACAAGCAAATATAATACTGTCTTAATTACCTATTGAAATGCTTTTAGAAAAACTTCAGGATCCCTATAATTCATGGCCAGCTTGACTGGTTACTGGTTACCTACCTATTTATGGGGCTGATTGTGATTTTTATTTGTTGTTGTTTTTCCAGAAATTACCAAAATCATCAATCCATTACTTTACCAGGGTTGTTAAGGTTGAGAAAAATGAACCAATTACATTATGGTTCATCTGAGGGTAGCAAAGTTCATAAACAGACTGTATTGACCAGTGCAGCTATAGGCACATTTCCTCGTGGGAAGAGATACAAAGAGAGAGGGAAACAGAGAGAGATAATATAAATTAAGATTTCTGTGGCCTTAGGTCTGTACCTAGCTGTGCTGGAGATGTGAAAAGTGTAGGCAGCTTATACAAATACTTTTGGACTAAATGTTTTATGTATCACAGGATATACATCATGTGATTGTGTGACTTATTTTAATTCTTTCTGAGTACTGAGCACGGGGCTTTGGGTCCAGCCACTCAGTTATGTAGACAAGTGGCATCAAGTGAAGGTTTGGCTTCATTTCCAGCGCTCATTCAATTAGTCACTATGGTCAGATGGACTGAACTAAAATATCCTGTTTGTGGCTTCACTTACCGGGAATTGCTGGCGACATATATCAAGTTCACCTGGTAATTGTTAACCCTCAATTACAGATTTGCTGGGGATCTGTCCTCTGTTAAATTAAAAGCAAATGGGAGGTTAAATTAATTTGAATAGCTTATTTTGTAGAAAACTGCCCTCAATCTAATTTCAAATTTCATGTTGTTTTAGTTTCCACTGGTTGGTAAGATTGCATTTTAGAAGGGGAAACCAAGGAAAGCAAACTGAATTGCCTATCTGATATGAAACACTATGACTTTTTAATTTTTAAAGGTTATTTTTAGCCTGCTGTTCTTATGTCTACAGAGGGAAAAGGAAGTGTGGCTCTGAGACAACTGCTTGAATACTTTGAGCCAAATAATTGCTGTTGAGAATAAAACAATTCAAATTTTTTATTAAATCATAATTACCAGATCCACTGGCTACAGAATCCAGAACCAGGAAAGAATTACTCAGCCTTCCACCTTAGTTTGCTTTTATAGACACACTGGCTAAATAGAAATTTTGATGATTTTAATAATACATCAAAAGTGAGAAATACTTGTTTAACTTTAAAAGCTCATGAATAAGGCCTTCAGAGAAATGATGTGAATATGTAATGAAAAAACATAAAATACCACTTTAAAATTAGCTGTAGGAAGGAAATAGTCTTCCAAGATTCCTGAACAATATATTTCTCTTAGTTGGCACCTCACAAATACTAGATAATTTCATATGCTGCTAGTTAACAGCCTAAGGAAGCCACATTGTACAGTGAATACTGCTCGTGGAAGCCTTTGGAAATCACAGGAAGCTCTGTTCTTCCTACTAAGAATTGCAATGAATATTTCAGTCATTGTGCCATGTAAACAGAACCATTGTGGTAAAATTCTGGAGGTGATAATCAGTAATTTTAATGCTGTTTTCACTAATAAAAGTCTTTTCTTAGAGGTCATATCTGTAGCCATTCAGTGTATTCATTAGTGTGAAATTAGTGAAGCTCAACATCAAAAAGAAACGCAAATAATCTTTTTTGAGCTGATGCAATTGCCTATTAGTTTACGTGATAGGTCAGGTCTACCTACCTACCTATGAACACACACACACACACACACACGGATACACAGAAACAGTGAATTATGCACAAAAGGAATTATTCAATTGATGTAAACAAATAAAATATCTCTGCCTTGACTACCTAGATTTTCCAAATCCAAATAGGTATTTGGGGCCCCAAATGATAGTTTTTCTGCTTTTTGCTTCACTTAAAATTGAAACCTGACCACTGTTTTATGTATAGTAGAAAGTAGACCCAGTCCATCTCCCAGGCCTGCCTTGGATTTCAGTAATGCCTCTTGCCTTGAGATTTGGTTTTGATTTTCCTTATTTGTTAATTTTACCACCACCATCATCTTCAGCCTATCAGCTTGCTCAGCCTGGAGTGAGTGCAGCGTGTCATTCCCACGATGCAAGTCAATCCTGCTACGACCCTTCACAGATATTATTCGGGGGTCTGGGGAGGGATAGCTAGATCCAAAATAAAGGATCCCAGGTGAGGATTTGGTTGGGAACTATTAGCACACAGAGGTTCAACGGGAGAAGGAGAGGAGATTGGGGGGGTCAAGGCCCAGGGCACTGGGAGGGACAGCGTTTGCTTACCAGGCGGAACTCGCTCTGATTTCTGGGCAAGAATCATGGTAAAATATGTCAAACCTTGGACTTCTTTTTCATCATTCTCTCTCTGCTTTATTTCTTTTAAATGTACTAGTTGAAAGCTTGGCTGCAGCAACACAGCACTAGTAATTCATATGTTTTCAAAGAATTCGTTGGTTAGTTAAAATAACTAGTCACCTCGCCAGCCCTCAGAAGTTTCCCCTGGGATGACTGGCGTGGTGGGCTGCCGGCTGTCGGACCCTCCCATCAGCTCTAGGTGTGCAAAACAAGTAGCATTTGTGTTTAACTAGACCAAGGGGCAAAATATGCGTAGTGCATATAATGAATTTTGATAGGAAGCAAAAGCAATCAATACAAACATAGGGCTTCTAATGTCGGGGTAAAAAAGCATTTAGGCCTTTCGGTATGTTTTCAGAAATTGTATTTCAATATCAATTACCAAGTGCATATTTCAGAAGCCATTTCCTGCAAGAACCCCTGGGAAGCCATGTCTCTCTGCCATGGGTCCCCTTGTTTCATAGCAGGATGTGTCGCATTTGCCAAGTCCTCCCTGCTGGAAATTCTTCTCTTCTGCTGGTATGAACAGCCGACGTCATCTCTGGCACAGGCTAGCTTAACAATCTTTTTTATTATTATTATTATTTTTTTTTACCGTTATTTTGTCCTTAGTGGCACTACACACACAAAAATCTAGGATTCTATGTCCAAGTATATATTTGCCACTGTAATATTATCACAACTAAAGAATATTTCAGTTGTATATACATTCTACATTGCTATATTTGTTTTTATTTACCAGTTAACTTCCAGCCCACAACTACCAGTTGTTTTATTCAAAGCTCTCCTTCAAAGTTGAAGGTAATCTCCACTTTGGAAACTCACAGTTATTTATAGAAAGAATCAGGACACTTCTCTCTGCTCATTTCCTTCTGTACCTTGTAGAAATACAGAAAAGTTAATACATTAAGTGATTGATTTAAAAGGAAGTCTTGCTGACACAAAAATAATTATAATAAGATAGAGTGAGTTATCAGGAAAAAACTCAACTTTAGGAAGATCTTTCTTGTGTTTTAGATTCCCTTACACTGGCATTGGAGTGCAGTGCTTTACCTTCTGAACTGGACGCAAAGAAATCAGTGTTCACTCTGGAATCCCTGCAATAAGTAAGTGTATTATTGCTGACATGTGGGCAGGCTGGCCATGTGTTGCCATAAAACATGGCTATTAGTTTCTCCTTGTACTCTATTTCAAAAAATATTCACTTGCTCAGATTTGATACAGCTGCTGAAATCCTGCTGTATCAATTCTCACCCTGAAAATGCACAAAGCATTTTTTTCTCTATGTACCTAAGCTGATACACAGAAATGTGTGTTGGAAACTGGATAAAACCATTAGAATTAAGAAAAGCAGTGTTCTTAGAGAAACAAAATGAGGCATTTTATTAAAATCACACCATGCTGGATCACCTTCCTTTGAACTTGTTGACTTTTTGTAGGTTTCAATATGTGCACTGTAAAGGAAATAAGACTCAAGTTCATAGACACTTCCATTCTCTGCAGTCATCTTGGCTGCCTAGACTGTGCTGTAGCGTAGAATGTGAGCATTATCTGGGTTATTTAATCCCACATGCCTATCTGATTTCAGCTGCTCATTTGAATATAATCACATTGGAGAAGACCATTTTCTAACAATGTTCTTACTGTAGCCAAGTGAGGCTGAACTAAATGGTCTTTATTCCATCTTAAAGGTTATCAGAGCTGTGTTAAACCAAAAGCCTGTTGGCGAACAGTCATCTTCAATGTTTAAGCACCATCATAGGAAGATGGGAGTATACATTCCCACTGAATTTCCAAATCAGATTATTTGGTCACAATTCCTTTTATTTTGAAACAGCAACCAGGGCTAGAGAGCGAAGGTGACTTGTCCAAGGTCAAATAACATATGGCCAATCTGGTCTACCACCGGATTCTACTGACACAGGATGCTGCTATTTCCACTGCTCTACTCTGTTTGGAAGTTCCAGAGGGGAGAATGAGGATCTGTTGGTGAGACTTCAGGGTGATAGTCCAATGTAGCATAAGGACACTTTCCATAAGGTTGTATAGCACACCACAACTGGAATGAGCTAGATGCAACATATAGAGTTCTTTATCCATGGAAATGTCCAAAGTGAGAGTGGTTCTGACAAGGAGGATGGATAAGCTCCTAGGTTTCTCTCGTGCATACACTAAAGTAATTTATCAAGCAGGTCAAAACTATCAAATATGCATTTTGTCCCAAACATTGAAATATTCAAGCTATAGTAGTTTAATTAATAATAGATGATATCTACTAGATACTAGAATAACAAATCAATAATCCAAAATACCAGTTATATATTAAGCATCATTTTAGAAAACACATAAAGTTCCCTTTAATTTTTAGTGTTTTCAATGTGTCAGCATTCCAGAAAGAATACTCTTTAATGTTTAATTTTGTACAAAGGAAAAAAACAACCTCAATTGTGAGGTTATGTTTTGAGATTGGCAAATGGAACACAAAGGTTAGTTTATTGTTATATCATCTTCTCTAATGGAGTTGAGTCTATTTTTATTTACCATCAATTAGATAAAACTGAAATTTACAGCAAAGAATTTCAGTTCACGTTATAGCTCAATAGACTATATTCAGAATAGCAACTACAAATAATCTAAACTATAAAAAATGCTCTAAGAAATTCTTACTTGAATTGCATTCCATAGAGACAGAAGTTTTCGTTTAAAAAAGGGGGGGG